TTCATATTTGGAAAAAACAGAAGTAGGCTGTGTAGTTATTTGCCTGTAAAACACTTAGTAATCACAGATGTATTGGAGCATAAGCTTTCGTGGGTGAATACCCACTTCGTCAGACGCATGCTCCAATATACTCCAATACATTGTTAGTCTATAAGGTGCCACAGGACTCTTTTTTGCTTTTTATAGATCCAGACTAACACGGCTACCCCTCTGCTACTTAGTAATCACAAAAGATTAAGTAAAAATGAATGAAAACTTTTAGTTTACACAAGCTTTATCAGGACAGTCAGAATAGACTGCAGACTATCGCAGGGGCTCTCAATTTCTGTCATGGGGGGGCCATACCCTAATAAAGATATTGTTTGAATGACCATTTCAACAATCCATTAACAATTGTCTAGACCTCCTCTCTTGTCATTGGCCATCAAATATCTCTGTAGCATCTATAGCAGTTGCTTACTTACAAATAGTATTTTTTTTAAAGTGTACTTTTAGCTTCTTTAAATGTTATTTAACAGCTGGAAACAAGATAGGACAACTTTGAGGCCTGCAATTTGGAAATTACCGAGCCAAAATAATGTCCCCTTTTTAAATGGTTCAAAAGAGAACTCCTTGTATGCTAACATCTTCTCTTTCTAAGGCCTGGTTTAAACCTAAAACTTATACCGACCCAGCTACATCGCTCAGGGGTCTGAAAAATTCACATCCGAGACACATAGGGTATGTCTACACAGCAATTCGACACCCACAGCTGGCCGGTGCCAATTGACTCATGGTCAGACTAAGGGGCTGTTTAATTGCAGCATAGATGTTTGGGTTTGGGCTACTACCCCACCTCACAGGGTCCTAGAGCCCAGGCTCCAGCCCAAGCTTGAACGTCTACACCACAATTAAACAGCCCGTTAGCCCAAGTCAGCTGGCATGGGCCAGCCACAGGTTTTTAATTGCAACATAGACATACCCATAGTTATGCCAACCTAAGCCTGGGTATAGACACAGCTGGGTTGACAGAAGAAGTCTTCAGTTGACACAGCCACTACCTCTTGAGGGGGTGGATTTATTACAGCAACAGAAAAACTCCTCCCGTCTGTAGCAAGCGTCTATTACAGTGGTGTAGCCGCAGCACTGCAGCTGTGCTGCTATAGAGCTTTTAGTGTAGACATAGCCTAAGACTATTACTATTACAACTATTCAATTATTTGTTTGCAAAACTCCTAGAGTGAAGGTGGGGAGGGGAAAGCCACGGAAAGGGCTTGAACTGCAAACAACATACTGCTTGTTAAATATTTAACCAATAATATTTTAAATGACAAAAGAGAGGCGGGGACAAATACATTCCATACAGATGAGAAATTATTGAATGTTTACGTCAGGAAAAATTTATCTGGCTTCCTCCCAAACACTGAAAAATTGTATAAAAGAATAAATTAGCATAAATATCTGAATCACAGGTTCAGTGTTTTGCCTTCTTTTAAAGAAATTTAAAACATGAAATGCCAAATAAGAAAGATTACTTTTGTAAAACTGTTATCATCTATGAGGCAGTGTGGTTTAGAGTTGAGAACAGTATTAGAACTCCTGGGCCCCTGTCCCAATAACCATTGACATTGTGCTACCTTGGGGAAAAACTTTTGTGCTTCAGGTTTAACCCTCTGTATATGGGGGTCAACACTATACACACAGATTGCGCTCTAAGTTTTAAGTTTCAATGTCCATAAAGCACATTCAAATCTCTTGAGGAAACAGTCTTATATACAGGAGTGGATATTTTGTTACTCAACACCTACTAGCCTGTGTACTAAGTCTTCAAGCCAGGGTGAAAAATTGCTAAGCTACCATGACACTTTCAAAGCCAAACTCCCTGCTATTTAAGGGAATAACTATTTCGTTTTTAATATTTTATTGGATTGTATTTTTTTTAAATTAGGTTCCAAAATTTCTTAGACTTTCCTTCCCTGAAATTCATTCTCTTCTTTCCTGTAACATATCATGCCATACCTTTCCTGCATTTCTTTCAGTGTCAGTTACCTTTTCTCCCCCACCCCTTCTCCACATTCATCTCTCTTTCTTACTGAGGGCATGGCTACGCTTGCAAACGTAGAGCGCTAGGAGTTAAACCCGCCTTCGGAGAGCGCAGTAGGGAAAGCGCTGCAGCCTGTCCACACTGACAGCTTCAAGCGCACTGGCGTGGCCACATTTGCGGCACTTGCAGTGGCATTGGGAGCGGTGCATTATGGGCAGCTATCCCAGCATGCAAGTGACTGCAACGTGCTTTTCAAATGAGGGGGTGGGGAGCAGTGTGACAGGGAGTGTGTTGTATGTATGTGGGGGGAGAGAGAGTGAGTTTTTGGGGGGCTGAGGACATGTCAGCATGCTATCTTGTAAGTTCAGACAGCAGCAGACCCTCCCTCCCCCCTCTCTCTCACACACAGCATTCCACACTAATCTGTCTCAGAGCACACTTATCTTATCTCGAAGCAGATAAGCAGCCGGCTGTCAGAAACAGAGCTTTCAAACGGCATATCCGCATTCCTACAGTGAGTTCAAAAGAATGAGAAGAGTGGCCACTTGACTTAAGGGGATTATGGGACGTTTCCGGAGGCTGATCAGAGCACAGTAATGCAACACCTCGTCCACACTGGCGCTGCGGCACTCCAGCGGAGGCGAAGCAAACGTTATTTCACTCGCCAAGATGGAGTACCAGCAGCGCTGTAGGCGTGGAGTCAGAGCGCTCTACGTGCCTTGCCAGTGTGGACGGGTAGTGAGCTAGTGCGCCCAGGGCTCCTTTATTGCACTGTTATTCACAAGTGTAGCCAAGCCCTAAATTTTGTGCTCTACCTCTGCCCAGTATTTTCCGTCACTCAGAATTCTCTTTTCAAAGTCCATCTCCCCTCCACCACAACATACTCCTCTTTCTTAACTTATCACTTTCTTTCTTTCTCTCTCACCCGCACTCACAATCCTAACCCAGTAGCTCTCATGCACAGGATTTGAAAAATTCCCATGACATCTAATATCTTGGACTGAATGAGGAGAGGGGCCTCCACTATCCAGGGGCACCTCCCAAGTAAGATGCAAGACCCCTTCCACAACTGCTTGAAGAGGGGAGTGAGCCATCACTGACCTACACACAGACACTCTAGCAACTGGAAGGAAGAAGGGAGGAGAATGTTCTCTCCTCCCTCCTCACTTTGCTGCAAGTGGTTGTTGAAGTCAGTGGGGGCCTTACTGCCCTAGTCTTCAGAGAATAAGGTCAGAAGGGACCACCATCATGATCATCTAGTCTGACCTGCACGTTGCAGAACCTCACCCACCCTCTGCTGAAATAGACCCTAACCTCTAAGTTACTGGAATCCTCAAATCATGGTTTAAAGTCTCTGTTTTAGGTCCTTTTCCACAACCAGTAGCTCAAGTCCCTTTCCCAAACTGCAACTGTACGAAACTGACCTGATTCTTGTGAATTTCACTGTTGTCCACAATGTTCCAATAGCAGCCCTTAAAGCTGACAAGCTTCCAGTCAGTTTTCATTTTGCTGCACTGTGGGAATGCTATGAGTAACAGCTGAAGTACTGGAAGTGTCTGTCTGAAGACTCAGGAAGACCCAACCACATTGGTTTAGACTTGAGTCAGACTTTCTAAGTTATATTCACAACCATAAAGCCTCTAAATTGTTAAGAGAATTAAGTTTCTGATATGGCATTTACCCTGAGAAGTTTCTTACCTGCCCTGCTTTTGTGGATTTTCCACACCCTAGATCATTTTCCACATATATACAGTCACACAAGCTTAGCATAATGTGTAACAAAAAATAGACAGGAAAGGCTTTTAAAGCCATCTCCTCAACGTAAAAATTAAATATACTTTAGAATTAAGATGGACCTCTTCAGTGATTCCTTTGTGTGGCTTCCCCTGAGAGGAACTTTACAGAGGTCTTAGTGCTGAGGAATCAAGTAAACAGGGTCACATTAACAACAAGGAGTCTGGTGGCACCTTAAAGACTAACTTTAAGGTGCCACCAGACTCCTTGTTGTTTTTGTAGATACAGACTAACACGGCTATCCCCTGATACTTGACACCATGCAAGGGTCACATTAATATATTTAGCAAGTAATCATGCAAACTATAGAAGAACATACAGGTGGATGGGAGGACAAATGTGTTCCCTAAGACTGGTAAGTAACTGATCACTTGGATTCTTCCACTACAGATAAATCACTGGACATCCCATTATATGCAAAACTGCAGTGTGTATAAATCAGATAGAAGGTGCTCTTCACACTCCTTTACTACAAGAAAGACAAAGTTGACACTAGAAAATACCATGATGGCAGCTTGAGTAGCGAGCAGTAGTCCCCATGTAACTCTTAGACCTGCACAAGGGCAGATGGAGGGGCTGGAGGAGCAGGGGGAAGCAGCAATGAACTGGAGGAAAAAAGATAATATTTTGCACTTTTACAGAACCTTTCAGAGAATATCAAAGCACTTTACAGTGAGTGAATTAGTTCCTGCCTCACGTGAGAATTACTGTCCCTGTTTTTTAAGATAGGAAATGTAAGGCCAAGTGACTTGCCCATGGTCGCACAGTCAGTCAATAGCAGATCCTGGAACAAAGCCCACATATTCCAACTTTGCATCCTGTGCTTTAGCCACAAGGCCATCCTTCTACATTCCAAAGAGGTAGCATAGAGCAAGTGGATAAGGCACTGGCTGGGAGTTGGGATACCTGGGTTCTATCACCTGTTCTATCATTAATTTACTATCTGATCTTGGACCACACTGTGTGCTTCACGTTCTTCATCTGTAAAACAATGAAAGTGATACTAATTCACCTTTACAACATGCTTTGAGATCACAAGATGAAAGATACTATACAAGTGTCATTGTCATATGCCTGGAAAAGTGCCAATAAAAACCTTTCCTTATCTGTGAGTACATGACAGGCATTTGAATGCAGCCTGTCCCAAGGTAACTGCAGGGAAGAGGGGCACATGGCACCTTACCTGATTTTATAATTGGGTAAGGTGTGCTTGCGCTTGATGACCTTCTTGAACTGGTTGACGATGATAGAAGTGAGCTGGGGCATGGGCCTCCCCTCAAACTGGGATTTCACCTCAAAGCCTATCACAGGATCATCCATGAAAGAAAAGGACCAGTGCGTGAAGGGCAAGCGGGTGAAGACCAGTCTCAGCTTCCCCATCACCCGGGAGATCTTGACGAAGAGGTAAGCCGACTTGCCAAAGACCAGGTCCGCATCGATGGCTAGGTGGAAGCCACCATTATACTCCAGGTCCACCTCGAAGCCCAGTTCCTCGGGGCAGCCCTCATCACTGCAGATCACTGGCCGGATGAGCTTGATGGATTTGAAGATGGGCACCACGTCGCCCAGCGACACATCCCTGAGGCTGAGCCCCTCCAGCACCTTGCCCGTCATCTTGGTCTGCAGCAGCTCCTCGAACTCCACCTTGATCTTCTTGGTGACCCAGTGCCTGACCAGGGAGGTGTCCCTGAGCTCCCTGAAGAGGAAGAGGCAGATGGCATTGAGGAAGTAGCAGGTCTCCTCTCGGGAGGAAGGGGGCGCAGGGGGCTCTTGCTGCTGCTGCTGCTTGGCGCCGGGCTCAGCCTGGGGCTTGGCGGCGCCCGGGGAGGGGGTAGCAGCGGAGGCGGAGGCAGGGGCAGGCTCCTGGGGCTGATGGCTGCCCGCCGGGTCTGAGCCGTGGAAATAGTCCCTGAGGCTGTGGTCAGGCAGGACCCTGGCGAAGAAGAGGCCGCTGGGGGCTCTGGCCACCCCGGGGGGCTCCGGCTTCCTCCTGTAGAGCAGCAGCAGCTGGAGCAGCAGCGTGATGCAGGAACCGGCCAGAGCCGAGATCAGGATCACATAGACCAGCAGCATCTCCGCCTCGACGCCCGCCAGGCGCGCACCTGGGCACGGGCTCCCCCCTCACACCAGCGCCGCCGCCTCCATCTTGTGGGCATGGAGCTGGGGCAGGTGCGGAGGGGCTGGGAACGGGGCGGGGGAGGCGCAGCCTCCGCCTGAGTCCGCCCGAGACACCCGCGCGGCTCCTCTGCGGTCCGCTCCGCCTCACACAGCAGCAGCCAGCTGCCGCCTCATCCGGGTCTCACCTCCCGCCCCCAGCCGGGCGGAGAAACCAACGGCCGCTTCCCTCCCCGTCCCCCCGGATTGGAGGAGAGAGGAGGGCCTTACCCCGTACGTCACAGGGCACGGCGTCCTGCGCGGTGACGTCATAACACCGCCGGTAGGAGGGGCTTGGGGAGGAGCGGTGCGTGTGCGCGCGACGCCCGGCCGCAAGTTGGGCAGCGTGCGCCGGGGGGGGGGGGCTGGCTGCCTGCTGGTGCTGCGGGCAGTGCCAAGGAATTAGCGCACTACGCCCTGCAGCTGCCCACCTCTGCCCGTCACTCCCAGGACCCCCTCCCCGCTCAGGACTAGGCACCGCTCCCAACCCCTGCAGTTCACTCTCTGCCATGTTTATTACACCCAGGCAGTCCCTTTCGGCACGCTTTGCACAGGCGCTGGAGACGGGCCAAAATGCTGTTTTCTCAGTGTTCCTTTGCCCCTCTAGCCTTTGCATCCGCCCTTGAGCAGGAGGTTCGAGAGCCCATTGGGCGTTGCCTTTGCAGATGCTGTCTGGAGGCTGGGCTGATGTAGACTAGACTGGACTGAACAGCTCTTGAAAATGGCTAGAGCCGTCATCTCCAAACTTTTTTGATCGCGCACCCCTGTCAGTAAAAAAAAAATTTTGCACGCACCCCCTGCCGCGTCGGCTCTACCATTTTTGCAGAAAAAAAAAAAAAAAAAAAAAAAACACTCCTCCTGCTGTGCACCCCCAAGCAGCCTCCTGCGCACCCACTTTGGAGACCACTGGGCTAGAGAATGATGGTGTTGTGGGGACCTGCCTCCTGGTTTCTGACCACCCAGAGTTCTTAAAATGCTCTCACTAATAAATGAATTGCAGTATCCTAGCTTTTGAGAAACGATCTCGGAAAACCCTGTTTCTGGTCCCTTTCTCGTCTAGCAATGGAAAGAAGAAAAAAGTTCCCACCGCTGGTTACAAAACACCAGGACAAGCGACTTCAGTGATCAGTTAGAGCTCTGCGTGGATGCAAAATTTGTGTCCACATCCGATCCATCAACATGGTCCGTGGATATCTTCAGATTTGCAGGGCTGTGGTGATAGTTGCTCTTCTTCCACAACTGTTCCCAACTGCCATGGAATCGTCTGAATCTCACATTTTGACCAGTCTCCAATTAAAGGGGCTCCCCAATCATCATGGAACCTTCTGGTTTTAACAGTCTATCCTGTCTGTTATTTTATTATTTGTATTCCAGGAGCATCTGGAGGCATCAATCTAGATCTGGGCCTCACTATGTTACGTGCCATATAAAGACCTTCAAAAACACAGTCCCCGCCTTAAAGTGCTTGCACTCTAGTTTGATTAAAGGGGCATAACTTAAACATTCTTCTATCTGTTTAAATAGCAGCAGAAATGGCTATCATTACATACGTATCTAATTACACATGCAGAAATTTTTCTGCTCTCACACAAGCGTAACCGTGGAATTGGGCTACCCCTTGATACTATATTTGCGGCAAAAATATTAGTTTGGCTGTGAGACTGGATGACCACTACAAGCTGGATTCTTGCCATAGACAGCAGTACTCAATGACACCTCCACTCTACTTTAGAGGCACCAAGAAGGAGCTGCTCTATCCCTCAAATAGGTATCAGGTTTACACGGATCCTGATTGGGGCCAGTAATGAGGCATTATGATATCAGTGCAATAACTCGATAAATTTTAGGCAAGTCAAATAAAAATCTTACTGGCAGGGAGAACTCAAGACATAAATTAGTACATCTTGAAAGTTCTGGATCAACACCAACAAGATCAAATTCAGATCCTGCCCTGCAACATCCATCTGCAACTGCTATATCAGTCCTGCGTAGTTATTGCCAAATTACACAGGTGGTTTTTCATCTGTTTGCCTTATGTGGACCCATATTCATCAGGAACTAGAATGAGACCACCATACTTATATGGAATCAATTGCAGTAGCCCAGTAATGTCCTCTTGGGAGGGAGAGCGGGGGCGGGGGGAGAATAAAAGGGAGCAAATGTGTCAAAAATTGGGTTGAAAGAATGGAAGGGGAAAGAGCAGTTCCACTTTACAAGATACTCCTTTCCTGAGAGCTTACAAAAGTCACTTAATGGGACCACTGCAGTGTCTATAGTTTTGGATAAAGCAAACATTTAATTGGGGTGAAACTGAAAAGCAACTGTTCTCTGCAGCATGCTCCTCTCAGGTCCTGATGGATTTCCTGACATAAATCAGTTTGGGAGTTAATGGTGCTACTAACAATGTTTACTCCCCCACCACAACTGCCAGCCCCTTTGGAGGGAGGAGTATTAGATATTATGGTAATCGGCATAGCACAAGAACTTAAATAGCACAATGGAATAGAAGTTATTACAAATGTTGTAAAAAAGCTGTAATAAAGTCTGTTGTGGACAAGGAAGGAATGTGAAAATTGTAAAGAGAAACCAAGAATTCTAGATGATGTAGTGACATTTTAATTTGTGATGTATACATTGTTGAAACTGTGAGGAAAAAGAAAGCAATCCACACTTCACTGAGCATATTCTTTTCAAGCAAGGAAACAGATGAATCCTATACAGATGGGATGAGTTACATCTAACAATGTGTTCTTACAGAAAGAGTAGACATTTCTAAGGAGTACTTTAAATCAGTGTTGCACAGAGATAAATGCACAAATGGCATAAAGAAGCTAAAAGAAAGCATATTGCGTATGAGGCTTGGCTAAAAGAGGGGGGAAAGACATGCAGCGACTTTTTGAACAGAAAATTAGAGAAATTTTGAATTTTTATGAAGGTATGTAACTCAGAAGAGCTATTTATTTAATTTGTTTCATCATAAATGAAAAGTTAGCAATAGAAATAAAACACTACATTATTGATGGAAAAGATTATATACAAACATGTTTATAAAAATCTATTAATTTAATAGAGCAAACTGGTTTATAGGATAAATCTGGGCATAAATTGACCATAAACACAAAAACAGTAGCCTCAGTACATTCTCCAAAAGTTGCTATTAGGTGCTATTTATAAATTATATTTTACCAGCTGCTTGCCTGTGCCATGGATTAGTCACTTGCCTGTCTTTTGTACTTAAAAAGTTTTTTAAAATAGCTTTAAGTTTGTTATGAGGATTTTTTTCAATGATAAAGGCTATTTTTTAGAACCTGATTTACACTTTAGTCCACCTTGCTGCATTTTAATTAATAAACTACAACACTATAGTATTGATCACACAAGTGAGTTTTTGATATCACACTATATTTTATCCTTTTGTATTTTGGAATTTATGCAAAAGAGACCTAATTTTGGATTTATTTACCTTTTTTAATTTAGAAAAGTCAACTTCCTGAACTGCATTTTTTTTAAACACCATGGAAAACAAGAGGTACAATTTTTTAGTGCAGGTAAGTATTAGCCTATGAAATTCAGGATTTTTGAGAACCTGGTAATGATACAAAGCCATGGATTGAGACTAGAGATGCTTCAGAGTGTGAACTTTTTATAGAGCCCATGACTGACAGTTGAAATGATTGGATGTTCATGATTGGATATAAGAAGGCCAAAGAGGTCATAATGGGAGATTTTAACTACTGAAGCACAAGGGTGTATAAAATAGGAATAGATAATAGGAATGAATTGTGGATTTGACATTGAATTGCTGTTTAAATAGGAAATAGTCATAGAGTTTATAGTAGATTTGATTTTAGGTAAGGAAAAACACCAGAAAGTACAAGTGCAGATTTCTATGTTAAGGGGCGGATCCTTTCCTCTACTATTGTGATCAGTGTGGTTCCAAACTTGGCGTAAACCATTAGTAATTTAGTTCCATTGGGTTCCCTGTAGCTGCCCCTGGGATGCACCTTTTAGAGTTTCCAGGGCTTACTTATCCTTTCCTGAAGGTTTTTCTCCTGGGAAAGACTAGCATGGTCTAAAAGGAGCATCAGGAATCAGAATTTTGTGGTTTGTAGTTTTCTTAAGAATGAAAGAATGAAGGGAAACACTAAGCAACAAATATGTTAGAATGCAAACTGACAGGATGTGTCTGAAATGTAGAGTAAAATGGAATGGGATGAGAATCTGATGGGAAGGTAAGGAAGTCTAATTAAATGTGACCTGTAAATGACAAAAAGGGGAGGGGGGATTGCATCCTTATGTTGTATCAAGAGGGCCTGAAATGTATTTATTTTGTTTCGGGTTTTTTTTGTTTTAAGTTTAGAAATTCAGCTACTGTTAATTTTTCTGGAAGATTCTATGGACAACTGAACCAAAGAAATGAAATTTGAGCAACAAAGAGGAAGGAATTTTAAAACTGTTTAAATGCTCTGGTCTTTGTTATTTAACTCAACACATCTAACAGAGATAGGACAAAAGATCTTTCTTAGAATCAGTGGGCCAGGTTGAGGAAAGCACATAAGCACATACTTTAACTCCCATTGAAATCACTGGGGCTGCTTTTGAATAGGAATGGATTTAAGCTTATGTTTAAGTGCTTTCCTGAATCAGGGCCAATATCATTATCCGTTCAATGAAGGCATAGAAAGCTAACAATCCAGTACTCTGGTCCTCCAAAGAGACCTTCAAAAAGAAAAGGGAAGACAATAGGCCTGATTCTCTAGTGTCTTCCACCTCATATTGTCACTTTACAAAGTGGGTATAAAACCTATCCATCGTGTTTTAGTCGTATTTTGCACACTCTTTGAACAGGTATAAACAACTGCCTAAAATGCAAAATCAGGCTCTCTCAATATATATATTCCTGATATTTCTAAGATTAAAAAAAGTAAGGGAAAACATCTTTTTCTTCTCTAGGAAAAAAACATGTCAGGCCTCCGTTATACATCAAAAAGAAACAAAAAAATGTCATGTCCAATTTTTTTTTCTTTGCAGGTGACCTTTAAGACAAACATGCGAGGGGC